GGCCCCAGTACCCGCGCCCGCATGCGTCACGCACACCCAATTCGGCACACCCCTCACACGTTTCGTGGCTCCATAGGGAGCTCCACCGAAGGCCCCAGTGCCCGCGCCCGCATGCGTCACCCACACCCATTTCGGCACACCCCTCACACGCTTCGTGGCCCCATAGGGAGCTCCGCCGAAGGCCCCAGTGCCCGCGCCCGCATGCGTCACGCACACCCAATTCGGCACACCCTTCACACGTTTCGTGGCCCCATAGGGAGCTCCACCGAAGGCCCCAGTGCCCGCGCCCGCATGCGTCAGCCACACCCATTTCGGCACACCCCTCACACGTTTCGTGGCTCCATAGGGAGCTCCACCGAAGGCCCCAGTGCCGCGCCCGCATGCGTCACCCACACACATTTCGGCACACCCCTCACACGGTTCGTGGCTCCATAGGGAGCTCCGCCGAAGGCCCCAGTGCCCGCGCCCGCATGCGTCACCCACACCCATGTCGGCACACCCCTCACACGTTTCGTGGATCCATAGGGAGCTCCGCCGAAGCGCCCCAGTGCCGCGCCCCGCATCGTCACGCACACCCATTTCGGCACACCCCTCACACGTTTACGTGGGCCCATTAGGGAGCTCCACCGAAGGCCCCGAGCCAGGGTCGCTGCTTCCCCACCACCCATTTCGGCAAAATCCCGCACACGTTCTTGGCCCCATAGGGAGCGCCACCGAAGGCCCCAGTGGAAGGGGTCCGCATGCCACCCACCACCGATTCGGCACACCCCGCAAATGTTTCGTGGGTCCCCATAGGGAGCTCCACCGAAGGCCAAAGTGGCAGGGGGCGCATGCCTCCTCATTACCCATTTCGGCACACCCCTCAGACGTTTCGTGGCCCCATAGGGGGCTCCACCGAAGGCCCCAGTGGCAGGGTCCGCATGCCTCCCACCACCCATTTCGGCACACCCCTCACACGTTTCGTGGCCCCATAGGGAGCTCCACCGGAGGCCCCAGTTGCAGGGTTCGCATGCCTCCCCACCACCCATTTCGGCACACCCCTCACACGTTTCGTGGCCCCATAGGGAGCTCCACCGAAGGCCCCAGTGGCCTGGTTCGTATGCCTCCCCCACACCCATTTCGGCACATCCCTCACACGTTTCGTGGCCCCATGGGGGTTTCCACTGAAGGCCCCAGTGACTGGGTTCGCATGCGCCCCCACACCCATTTCGGCACACCCCTCACACGTTTGGTGGCACCATAGGGAGCTCCACCGAAGGCCCCAGTGGCTGCGTTCGCATGCCGCCCCCACACCAACTTCGGTGCACCCGTCACACGTTTCGTGGCCCCACAGGGAGCTCCACCGAAGGCCCCAGTGGCTGCGTTCGCATGCCGCCCCCACACCAACTTCGGTGCACCCGTCACACGTTTCGTGGCCCCATAAGGAGCTCCACCGGAGGCCCCAGTGGCAACGTTCGCATGCCGCCCCCACACCCATTTCGGCACACCCCTCAAACGGTTCGTGGCCCCATAGGGATATCCACTGACGACGGTACTCACACCAGCATTACTCACAACTGCATATGGTTGGGTCCTTCGCCAGGCTAATTAGTAGGAGTACTAGCAGTAGTAGTAGTAGTAGTAGTAGTAGTAGTAGTAGTAGTAGTAGTAGTAGTAGTCGTAGTCGTAGTCGTAGTAGTAGTAGTAGTAGTAGTAGTAGTAGTAGGTGTAGTAGTAGTAGTAGTAGTAGTAGTAGTAGTAGTAGTAGTTGTTGTAGTAGTAGTAGTGGTGGTAGTAGTAGTAGTAGTAATAGTAGTGGTAGAAGTAGTCGCAGTATTAGTATTAGTAGCAGTAGTAGTAGTAGTAATAGTAGTAGTACTCGTTGTAGTTGTAGTAGTAATAGTAGTAGTAGTAGTCGTAGTAGTAGTAGTAGTAGTAGTAGTAGTAGTAGTAGTAGTAGTAGTAGTAGTAGAAGTAGTAGTAGTAGTAGTAGTAGTAGTAGTAGTAGTAGTAGTAGTAGTAGTGTTTCAGTAGTAGTAGTAGTAGTAGTAGTAGTAGTAGTAGTAGTAGTAGTAGTAGTAGGAGTAGTAGTAGTAGTAGTAGTAGTAGTAGTAGTAGTCGTATTAGTAGTAGTAGTAACTAGTAGTGGTAGTAGTCGCAGTCGTAGTAGTAGTCGCAGTAGTAGTAGTAGTAGTAGTAGTTTGTTGTTGTTGTTGTATTGATCGTAGTAGTAGTAGATCGTAGTAGTAGTAAGTAGTGTGGTGGTGTTGGTGGT